ATTTATAGTATAGTTATCTAATCATCTATATAGAAAATTTTCAAATTATGTAGATGAAATTCTCTTGTGCTGATTCTGTTATTGTAATACATATAGGCATAGATAACTATTATACATGTAATCTTTTTATAGAAAGATCACTTCTAAACTTACATAAAGTCAACTTCTAATAGAGTAGTTGCATTTTTATTCTATGAATGCTAACAGCCTGCTGTGAGCCAGTTTTGTACCAGGATGCCGTAAGAGATAAGGTTCTCATCCATCAGAGACCTCTGGGTCCTGCTGAGCCTCCATGCTGAGCGCAGAGCAAACAGGACGCAGAGGGCATCAGTGCGGGGAAGGCCAAGATGCTTGGGACAGCTCCAGGATGGCGTTTGAAAATGTTTTCTTTCCAATTAAATGAGATATATGGATGTATAATTAATACATTATAAATATAGTATTGTAGTTGATGGACTTATTTTCTCTAGTCAATAGTTATTTATTTTAGAATTTTCTTCTCTTTTAAATGTACTCAGATTATATTGATAACATTTGATAGCACTGAGAATTTTAATTATTTTGTAGACTTATGAGAATCAGAAAGTGAGTTCATGTTGAAATAGGAACTAAACAATACTAGTTTGATAATTTAAGTGTTTCAGATTTTGTTACCAAAGAGACTCTTAAAGTTTTCTCCTCTTTCCTAGTACTTTTTTTTTTTTTTGGTTTTGATACCAGGAATCGAACTTGGGACTTTGTGCTTGCCAGGCAGGCTTTATGCTGCTAAGCTATTTCCCCCACCCAGCTAGTTGGTATTTTTGTCTATATTTAAAATTTTAATTTGCATATGCTGTGGTCCAGTGGAACGTTGAACCAAAGGGCAAATAAAGAAAAAAGTTATAAATCTCTGATGATCTTTAGAGTGTCAGTATTTTTTTCCTAAAAATCTATCATTATATATATTTTTAATTATAACATACATACAGTTCACTGTACAGTACTCCTCATATTTATCATGGGGAGTTGGTTTATGAACATGACATGTCTCATTTCTTTCTTTATCCACTCTGTTAAATTTTACTGGCAGCAGTGGTGGCGGCAGTGAAGGCAGCTGCGCGGCAGAGAAACATAAATAAGGATGGGGAAAGAGGGGAGCCTTTATTAACTCTGAAGACAGGAGAGGACAGGGGTGGGGGGCAGGGAGATGGGAAGATCTCTGATCTGAGCTGGAGTGGAAAAGACTTTCTGGGCTTTTGCTAGGGGCGGAGTTTGAGGGGCAGGTTCAGTGACACACAAGAAGCTGATTGGGACTCCCTTGTGTGGGCGGGAAAGGTAAAAGGAAGTTGTATCCAAGGCTGGAGTGGGGAAGGAGAGGAAGTGGTCACTGGGGACATGAGCTGCAGTTTTGGGAATTCAGCCTTGTTGGATCAGAGTCATGATACTTTAGCAGTCTGTAGGGCCAGAACATATCACCCTTTGCCTCCCATCCCTCTCTGCTCCTTCCAATTTTTGGTCCCTTTTCCATTTGTAAAAGCTTTCTTTTCACTTTTTCTTTCAGTTCTTTTTTGCCAGCTCCCATGCACCCTTCCTCCCTATCTCCCCTCCCATCTAAGTAAAGATGTCCCTGCCTTCTACCATTCGCCTCCCATTGCATTCTTTATATTTTGGGCTTCTCACACATTTATAATTCTCTTTTTACACTCCTATTTTTGGATCCAGTTGTGCTATAATGCATCCACCCTCATTGTCTCTTAGATTGTATGTGAAATTAATAAATAATTTATATTGAACGATTATAAGAAAAAAAGTTGGCTTTTTTTTTTCTTCCCATCCTAGAGATTGAATCCAGACTCTTCACACCAAGCTGCATCCTCAGCTCCTTTTAAAATTTTGAAACAGGACCTGGCTAAGTTGCTGAATTGACCAAGATATGCTACAACTGCTGATCCCCTGAGTTTAGCCTCCCAGAGTGGTAGGATGACAGGCTTGCACCACCACACATACCTGTTTTGATTTTTAAAAATATTCTTAATAAAGTTGAGATCTGCACTTGTGGATCTGAGTACTGAAAGAAACTTTACAAATGACTTTTGCTCCAGCATCATAGAGAAACCTTGTAAATTTCATCTTAGTAATTATCCACTGTCTTCTTTGCTCCTTTGCTATCTTCTTATTGTGTGCTAGTCTCTAAATAATTAAAAACTGATTGCCACCACCACACTATCCCCATCCCAGTTTCTGCAGCACGGCTCTCCTTTTCTTTATGACCATTTATTTGGTAGACTGTTGGTCAGCTTGGATTTGTCTGATGTCTTCTCATAATTTCAATGTCTGGTTTGGAGACATTTTGACTCTATATAAATATCCTATTTTTCACACTTTTACCCACTAATTTTGCCATCTATTGATGATTCAGGCCCTCCATAATTGTTACTGTAGGTAATATTCTTTCTATTATTCTTCAGTAATACATGATCTTAACTTGATACTTTCTACAAGTGACTGCATGCATTTTACTCTGAAGAAAAGGTACAGCAGATTTTAAAGAAATATTAAGGGCCGGCAAGATAGCTCAGTGGACTAAGCGCCTGCTTAGACAACTGCAGGGACCCAGGTTTGATCCCTGGCACCACAGGCCATGCTGGCCCCATCCCTGGGTGCACTGAGTCTGGGTGTGGTGGCATATGCCTGTAATCCCAGCACTGGGGAGGCTGAAAACAGGAGGATCACTACAAGTTCGAGCTGCGCAATGAGACCCTGATATAATACAATGCAAAACAAAACACCCAAAAAACAAAACAAACCCCCCAAACTAAAAAGAAATATTAGGTATTATTATTTCTTTCCCTCTACCACTGCTTTCTCGACTTTCTTGTCTTAGTACATCCATTAGAGTAGATGAAAGGAATTTTTTGTATATTTCCCCTTTCTGATCTCTCTGCATGGCTTATTCTGAATTCCTCTGGAAAGATTCAGTGCATAGGAGTCCAAAGTGTGCCTGGGTGAATGACAGCAGAGCTAGAGTGTTTGCTGTTGTCCTGTGTTTTTAAGACATTGTTTTCCCTGGCCACTGTTGGTAAACCACTTAATTTTGATCCGTACATTTCTAATTTTATCCCAGAGAACATGAATTTCATCCTAAGCAGATGCTTACTCCCCTGATTATCTCGACTGCCCTGCAATATTACATTTTATAATTGTTTAATAGTATTTCTAAAATACTACATAAACAACTGAAATAAACTAAGCTTAATGGGCCGGGGATATAGTTCAGTAATATAGCACCTGCTTGGCAGTTTTGAAGTTGTGAGTTTGATTCCTGGTAATAAACAAACAAAGCTCTATTATATAGTGTAAAACTTAGCAGTTTACTAAAAGTAAACACTATGCAAGCTTGATTATTCAATGCTTATTTTGTTCATTAATTTGGAAAAATTAATGCTTTACTACTCCAAAAATATCCTTGGCTGTTAGGTGAAATGAATGAATGAATGAACCAACCAGCAAATAAATAAGTATATTTTCCCCTTTTAAATGGTCAGCACTTTCTTTGGGATAATTACTAAAGGAAAAATTTATTTTTAAGTAGAGAAGCCATTGTGAGACAGGTTTTCTAAAAATATATGTGCGTGAGTGTGGGAAATCATAACCACTTTGTTTTCAGAAAAGACCACCTGTAAGATGACTAAGGTCAAGAAATGGTGGAGATGCCTTATTGTGTTGGTTTATATGCCAAATTAAGGTGCTTGGGTTCCTAGGGTAGAAACTTAAGAGTCAAGGAGGGCCAGAACTAGAGGAGTGGTAGAAAAAGGATGAGTTCAAGAAGTATCAAGGAGATTAAATCATCAGGGCATGGAAATAAATTGAATGTGTGCAGCAAGAGAGGAATCAAGGGTCCTGCTGCGGGTGAATGGTATTCCCACCTTAAGCAGCTTTGGAGAAAGAGAGGTTGTGCTGTGTGGTGTACAGGACTGCTTGTGGTGTTTGTGGGATATGGTTGGAGACACTGCATGATGTATTGGAGGAACTGGAGACTGGCGAGTGATTCAAATAGAAGTGATGTTTAGAACTATGAGATTGAGATTACTCAGAAGGAGTCCAAGCGAGTAAGAAAAGCATGAGTTGAGGACATAATTCTAGATACCACCTACATTGATGGAAAGGCAGAAAAAACCATTTATCTAGGAGAGTGCAGTGTGATGAGGCCAAGGAGGGAGTGGTAATAACTTAGCATCATAAATCTTCTGTGTTGAAACTGAAGGAGAAACATGACTGAGGTTTTCACTTTATAAGATGATTTTCAAGGATTTTGATGAAAAGAGTTTTGTTTCACCCCTTTCTTTTTAATGTTCAGAGCCTAACAGTAAAGGAGAGATTTTTTTAAATATATATATATCCAGGAATTTTTTGGTATTATAATTTTCCTTTCTCTTATTTGGAGGTGTACTTTATTTTCTATTTCTCTCCGTTATTAATTTTCTTAAATTGATTGGAAGTCTTATAGTTCAATAAAGTCAGTATGTTTTGTCAAGTGTATAATTTGTCAACATTAAGCCTTAGACTGAACCTAAATTCATTTTGACGATGACTCATTTACAGACATTGTTGTCTTCCCACCTCTCACCTAGTTTATTTGATCCGCATCAGATGCCTGTGGGATAAATAGACAGATTGTTGTCTTTATATCCCTTTTCTAATTAAGGAATCTGTCCCCTTGTTTAATTATGTTACCCATTCACAGAGAGCTGTTTGCTTTCTGTTTCATTGGGTATATAACCTAAGTTAATGCTGAAAAAACCCTAGAGATGTCTCTCTTTATTTTACAAATGAATAAACAGACTCAGAGGTAAAATTAGCCAAAGAGGTAGAAGGAAACAAAATGAAGATTACAACTCAGCTTCCTGATTCCCAGAGTCCCTATAACAAGAAACCATAGTTTAATTTTGTGCTACAAGTAAAATTAGGCCACGGTGTGCTGTCCTTAATATTCTCACTTTGCTTTTGTGTTTCTTGGATAGTGTGCAGTTCGTGCCGCCACAGAAGGCAGAACTCTCATTTTGGAAGGCCTGGAAAAGGCAGAGAGGAATGTTCTTCCTGTGCTGAACAACTTGCTGGAAAACAGGGAGATGCAGCTGGAAGATGGGCGCTTCCTGATGTCTGCTGAGCATTATGACAAGCTTCTCAAAGTAAGAGAAAAACGCGGCTGCTCTGTCTGTGCTGTTAAACTGTAGGTGGTGATCCTGTGTATGCAAACGGTCTGTTAGAGTCAGGACTTGTGTGGACGTGACCCTTATCTTTGGCAAGTTGCTGAGGTAAAGTCATGAGTTTGTAGTTTCACAAGGCCATTCTATTTGCAGACCATGTCAGAAACTTTCCAGATTTCTACTTTCTTTGGTCAGTTTAGTAACTGTTCTCTTTCTCATTTTTCTTTTTTCCCTTTTCTTCCTTCTCCCATTTATTGAAAGCCTAGTGACTTTTAGACAGTGCTGGCATTTGGAGTACCAAGCTGAATAAAATCAGCTCTTAGTCTTATGCAGCACAAAGCCAAGTAGGTATTAACCTAAATGAATGAGGTATTTAAGGTGTCTGGTGGTTTAGGCCACCAGCATCTCTTGCCCAGCTTGTAGCTAGATTCTCTACTTCCTAGATTCTGTGCTATTGTCCACACAGCAGAGAGTGATTGCTTTAAAACATTACCAGTTTGGTTCACTCTATTCTCACCAGTTTCCTTTTCCAATCAAAGTAAAACGCAAGTCTTTATGGTGAAATGTACTCTGGGCTTTTACTACCTCTTGCCGGGCCTCGTCGAACCTCTTTTAAGCTAAGGCCACTTTTACCTGAATGCTTCTAAGTAATTATTCTCTTACCTTCCACCCTGTGAGAGGCATTTTCCTCTTCCTGGAAAGATTTTCTCCCAGTTTTTGCTTGGTTTACTCTTCTATTCCCTTCAAGTCTTTGCTTGACTATTACAATATAAAAGAGGCCTGCCTTGTCCCTTCTACTTAAAATTATAGTCTATAGTCTGTTCTCTTTTTCACTGTATGCCCTTATTCGGCTTTAGTTTTTTCCATGTTCTCGTCTAATATCCTATGTAACTTACTTATTATGTTTTTTAATTCATTGTTAGTCTCCCTCTAGCAGAACATAAACCTCACAAGGGCAGGATTTGTTTCACTGCTGTTATTTTAACTCCCCCAACAATGGATGCACATATTAGGTAATTATCAGTGATTATTTGTTGAATGAAGAAGTGCAGCAAAATGATTAAATGTTGTGATACATGTGTATATAGAAGGTAACATAGGGCTGGGGATACAGCTCAGTGGCACAAGAGCCTGCCTGGCAAATGCAAGGTCCTTAGTTTGATTCCTGGTACCAAAAAAAAAAAAAAAAAAAAGAAGACGAAGGCAACACCTGTGGGAGTATGTACCTGCTCTGTACATTTACATATGTGCTAGTTTTATGACTGCAGGTCTGCTGCAGATTGCTGATGAGTAAGACCCTTGTCTTGCACGTCTTTTTTTTTTTTTTTTGGTGGAACCAGGGATTGAACTCAGGTCCTTGCGCTTGCCATGCAAGTGCTTATTCCCCTGAACTATCTCCCTGGCTCCTGTCTTGCATGTTTTGATCTTACTCCCACAGTGCTAATAAAGGCCTAGAATATGCCAGGCACTAAATAATATATCTTAATGCCATAGGGTCCGATTGAACCAGTGCTCTGTGGCTGGAAGGGCCAGGAACATTTCTGATTCCTGTAAAATGAATTTCTCTATAATCATTTCTTACAGTCCTTTAGGCAGTAGCTCTTTATTATCTATGAGAGTTTTTAGATAGTGCTTTTTCTTTTCATTTTTGTACAGCATGGCAATTTTCTTATAGATTTAACTAAAGATCGTTTCATTCTAATATAATTAGAAGAGGATAATTGAATTAATCTCTAAGAAAAAGTTAAATTCACTCCATTTTATTATAATTCATTTGATGAAATGAAAATAATTATTATTTGTCTTTAAAAGCAGATGGATACTGTAGGGAACATTTTCTCTTAAACACTTTCTACTTATAAAATGACTGTTTTCCCCTAGGTATTGTATTAATTATTTACCAGATTTAGTAAATGCTTTGGAAAATAATATTTTTTAGAATATAGAATCATTTTAAAGTATAAGAATTGCTTAATAATGTATTTGATACGTTTCTTATTCTTATATTAGAATTGTGTGCAAAGTTATTGACCATATTACTTTGGGTAGAAATTTGGGATATATTAAAGGGTATTAAGGCATAGAAGTTTCTTATTAGCTGAGAAAGATTTGTTACTTCTTTTCTTAGAATTAGATATCAGTATAAATGTACACTTTTTATTGAGACAAGTGTCATTATGTACGTTATGCTGCCCTTGAACTCACTACATAGTTCAGTCTGGCCTTGAATTTTTACTAATTTTGCCTCAGCCTCCTGAGTGCTGGGATTACAAGCATTTGTTGCCATCCCTGGCTAACTACATACTTTTTATTAGCAAATGTTATTTCTATATTTATGAAATCTGTCTTGTGAGAAACCCTCAAAATACAGATAAGATTCTTTTATAAAACAGTGTCATGTTAGAACAATTTTTATACTAAAAATATTCCATATTGTAATGTAAGTCCCAGTTATACCTAGCTGGATTAAACATATGTGAGCCTGCTGAGTGCTGGTTGCCTTGCCAGATACTGTTAGGATGTAATTTTTAAAAAATCGCATATGTTCTTAGGATCATACCAAAGCAGAGTTGGATGCTTGGAAAATCGTCCGTGTTAGTGAAAATTTCCGAGTGATTGCTTTGGGCTTGCCAGTGCCCAGGTACTCTGGAAACCCATTAGATCCCCCTCTCCGCTCTCGATTTCAAGCCAGAGATATTTATTTTCTTCCCTTCAAGGTAAGTAGCCCAAGGATAATTAATTTTTAAAAAGTTATTGTGCACTGAAATACCATCTCACCCCACAAAGAATGGCTATCATAAAGAAATAAATCAACAATAAATGTTGGAGAGGCTGTGGAGAAAAAGGAACCCTTCTCCACTGCTGGTGGGAATGTAGGCTGGTGCAACTATTATGGAAATCAGTGTGGAGACTCCTTAAAAAACTAGGACTGGAAATCCCATTCAAGCCAGCTATCCCCCTACTAATTTTCCCAGAGGAGCTGAAAACATCATATCATTGTGATATATGTGTACCTATGTTTATAGCAGCACAATTTGTGATAGCCAGATCTTGGAAACAACCAAGATACCCATCACATGAGAAATGGTTGAAAAAAATGTTATTTTTATACAATGGAGTATTACTCATCTATAAAGAATGATAAACTCAAAGCCTTTATATTTAAGTGGATGCCACTTGAAGATATACTCATAAGTGAAATAAACCAGACCCACATGTATAAATGTCGTATAGTCTCCCTAATATAAGAACTCAAAAGAAGAAATACAAATAGGTATAATACAATTAAAAGGAAAGTGAGAACTTGAGGACTAGACAACGAACAGAGGGCAAGGAGAAAAGCTAGGAAACATGACAGGGGCAAAGCCATACATTTATATGCACAAGATGGGTAAGGCAATGATCCTGAGAATCTTCAGCATGTTTTTGAAACTAGCAGTTAATTGGTAGGATTCTCACTCTAACAAACTATATATGCTGATACCTGTGAACTAAGCAACTGTACTGAAGATAGCA